CCATGGCATAATCCACCCTACTCAGATCCTGCAAACTCAGGGCTATGGCTTACTTGAGTTAATCCACTTATTATGTAGTCTTCCTCTTTTCCTACTGCTTTCCATTTTAGCCATATTATAGTCTTTTCTAAAGAGTTACATCATATTGTGATATGTCCAAAGTATGATAGCCTCATTCTAGTCATTTTGGTGTCTAGGAACATTCAGGCTTGATTTGCTCTAGGATCATTTATTGGTCATTTTGTTAGTCTGTGTTATCCTTAGAACTCTCCTCAAGCACTACACTACATTTTAAGGGAGTTGATTCTCTTCCTGTCAGTTTTCTTTACAGTAGAGTTTTCACAATCATACATAGTATAGCATGGACAATCTTGATTTTGGTATTCAGTGATATACACTTGCCCCTCTGTTTTTGTGGACTTGAAGTCTGTGGTCTTGATTCTTCACAGAGGGGTGAGCTCCATAGGATAAAATGGCGTGCGTGCACAGGAGCGCGCAGTCATTCAAGCCAATAGGGCTTGATTACTAGCAAATTTCCATTTTTGCAAGGGGTTCCGGAATGGATTCCCCACAGAAACAGAGGGGCACGTGTATCTTCATGTTTGAGGATCTTATCATATTCCTTCATAGCTACTGTTCCAAGTCCTAGTCTTGTTCTTATTTCTTGACTACAGTCTCCATTCTGATTTATGACTGAGCAAAGGAATAGAAAGTCTTCCTCATCTACTTTAAAGTTGCATACAGCCAAATAGAGTTGCCTCATCGTACCCTCTGCCCTACCAATATCATGTTTGCAACCCTCTTCCTTTTTCCTCTTTATTTTCCTCTTTATTTCCTATAAAAATAAAAAAATATTAATATTAAATATTCTAAATAACAATTATTATTTATTATATTAATAATTAATTTCTTTGCAAACTACTAATCAGAACTGATATTCCAGTAACTTATGTATAAAATATAAATGATTATGTTGTTATTGTAGGTTCTGTTGCTTTTGAAAGCTCAATATTACAGCATTGGATTTAGAGCTCCAGTGCCACATAGTGTTTAACAATTCACAATCTCTAATGCTGGGATTTCCAAACAGGTCACCTTTATCCCTTACAAGAAGGGGGGGAAAACTAAAAATCTGTTCATTTTAGGGCATAAATAAGAATGGTTTGCAGCTGCCTTGCCCCTCCTGCATAGGGAATTTCCTCTTTAATGTAGGAAATATTTCCCCCCTTCTTCTTCCATACAGGTGTTCAAATCTTTGCCTGAAGATCTGGCTCCCTTGCTTAGTACATTATGTATTATTACCACTACAGATTTGCCAGCTTGACTTGTTTGAGGTTGCTGAGACATTAACTTTTTATTTTACTAACTTCTTACGATGTTCAAGCTATGACTTTACAATGTACCCTCTTTCAATCTCTTCCAACTGCCTTCCTAATACCTTTTTTTCTTTTTTCCTTTCCCAACATGTGGGAAAGGCAGAGAAATATTCATTACTGTAGAAAACTGATTGTATCGCTTAATAAAAACTACTGCTAAGTTCAGGGTCCAGCTTTAATATTTTCATAGTATATGGTTTTTTTTACCGGTGAACTTTTTAAAGATAATTCTAGCCTCTCTTGCTACGCCATCCTTCATAGGAAGGAATTACTATCTCCCTCCCTAGAAATGCATTATTTTCCCATTCCCCACCTTCCATATACAGACTGAGAAAGGCAGTGGGAGGGAAAATCCTGACTTCCTTTCGGTGAATCCCCTTCAGATGAACAAAGGTGTGGGTATATTGTCCCATGACTTATATAATTATTATCCTGACAGTTAGAATTGTACCATTCCCCCTGAGGAGTTGTCCTTGCTTAACATAGACATGTTAGCCAGTCGGTAGGGTGAGCTGTTCTCTCATGTTCCATCATGTAAGGAATTTCATACAGTAAGGTCCAAAACACACTGCAGAAATACTCCAATTTGGGACCGCTTTAACAACCGTGGCTCAATGTTAGGGAATCCTGGGAACTGTAGCTTTGTGAGACATCTAGCCTTCTCTGTCAGAAAGCTTTGGTGCCACAAAAAACTACAATTCCCAGGATTTCCTAGCACTGAGCCAGGGCAGTTAAAACGGTGTCAAACCATATGGGTTGCGGCAACCAGCAAAGGGCCAGTTCAAGCTTCAGACTCTCATAAGGAGGACAAATGGATCATTGCTATTTATTTCCCTTCCTGACAGTATCATAAAGTTGGAAAAGATATAAAGGCCCATCTGGTCCAACCCCTTGCCAGTGCAAGAATCCACAAGTAAAGCATCCTTGAGAGGTGGCGGTCCAAGCTCTGTTTTAAAAGCTCTAGGGTAGTCCACCACCTTTGAATTATGTTTATTCCACTTCCCAGCTAACTCTTATCATGAGGAACTTCTTTCTGTTGTTCAGTTAGAATTTCTTCTCTTGTTTCTGTTGGTTTGCTTCCTGTCCTCTGGAGCAACAGAAAACAAAGTCAGTTCTTTTCACATTACAACCCCTAAGATATTTAAAGATGGTGATCATATCACTTTTCAATCTTCTCTTCATGAAGCTAAACATGCCTAGCTCTCTTGATACTTCCTCATAGGGCTTGGTTCCAAGACATTTTATCATGGTCACCCTCTGCACATGTTGTAGCTTTTCAATATCCTTCTTAAACTATGGTGCCCAGAACTGGACACGTAACTGGTTTCTCTTCAGCTCAAATAAATATTTTGCTTTTTACTATGGATTTCCATTGGAGAAACATTTATGAGTTTTTAGTATGTTGTGGCAGCACTTTTTTAATTGAAGGATTGTAGTGTTTTCATTATGTTTTAAATATCTTTTTAATGCTGCTTTTAATTTGTTTTTAACAGGCGTTTTTAAAATAGAAATTTAGTTTAATTGTGTTTTAACTTTTGTACTAAAAACCTTACTACACAAGAAAAGAAAAGTGAAACCGATTGGCCCCTTTCAGCAAAAGAAATGTTTTGAGACCATCTTCCCTTGAGAAGAGAACAGAAGTGCTATGAAGGCATGCAGAGCAGCACTACTCTTCCAATCAATGTCATCTTTTTTTTTCTTGTGCAATAAAGTCCTCAGAGTTTTTAAAATTGTATTGTGCTTTTAAAATGTTTTATGTCACATTGGATCCTGTGCTGGGAGAAAAGTAGGATATAAAATAAATAAATAAATAAGCTTAAGGTAAGATCTTATCAAATGATAGTAGAATGTCCCTGTCTTCTCTTGTTGTGGACAATAGAGTTAAGATTCATGCAGCCTACAATTAAATATTTTTAATTTATTATTTTATTTATTATTATTTTGCTGGGGATAAATCTTGCCCTGAGTCTTATCCATCTTATCCTCTGAATAAATCTTGCCAAAAAAAAAAAACTCTGTGATAGGATTGAAGGCATATAACAACAATTTATTACTGGAATTAATGCATATTCTTTAGAAGATTTATGCAAACAGCCAAAAAGTTTGAGCTGGGAGTCAAAAATTCTCCAGTTCTGATCATATCTCTAACATGGACTCATTGATGGCCTAAGGCTAGCCACTGTCTCTCAACCCCAGGCTGTCTCTCCCCCATCCTCAACCATCCTTTTGCAAAATGGGGATTCCAATACTGATGTGCCTTCCAACTTGTTTGTAAGCGTTGCTGAGATAATGCACTTGAAGTGCTTTAAAAAAGCACTCTATAAATGCTAAATATTTTACTAAGTTGTTTCCGTTACCACTAATATAGAAGTGTTTTGAAATATAAATCAATGCATTCTGAATAGAGCTGCATTTTAAAAAGTTTCCCTGTTTTGTGCCGTGCCTTAACGGCCGTCAACTCCCTTGCCTCTCCTTAGTGCTTAACGTCTTGTATTAATTTTTAAATTCCTTGGATCAGTCTGTTGTGCATATACTGCACACGCACACAAAGATCAGTTGAAGTCAGCACTTTTTTATTTCCTTTTTAGCATACTGTACGAGTATAAATGGACTGGTAAAATTTGTGGAAATAAATGCTAATAAAGTGAAAATAATAATAAGAGGAAGTTGATACTGGCTGTTCAGGCCAAAGTCCTTCTAGCAAAACATATGCAAAAATCCATAAAAGTATATTTTGAAAATGACAGTGTACAATCCTGCACAGGAATATAAAGGAAAGGAAAGGAGCCAGGTTTAGAAGGAGCCATGTTGGTATATCTCTGCAAATTGGCCTTTTCTAATGAATTCAAGGCATTGCTTATACTTTGACAGTGGGATTCTGTTCTGGCTCATGACTATTGAAAATGTTTTACTCATTTGTACTATCATTTTCTGTCATCATTGGAAGCTTCATTTAAGAATGAGGTTTCACAGCTGTAAAAGATAACATTTATTTTGCTCACTTCGGCTGGAGTTGTTTACAGTTCATGTGGCTATTTTAACTAATTGAGAAAGCTTGAATTGTCATCTAAAATGGGATAATTCAAATTTGGTAGGTCATATTTATATAATGTATTTTATTGTACCTAACACTTGTATAGCAAGCTTGATTTTTTTTTAAGTAATGTGCAATAGTGCAGTCTAAGACTTACCTACAAGAGCTGATCCTGTTGGATTAAATAGAACTTTCCCTATATGTGTTTGCATATGCACATTTACTTGGAAGTAAGCTTCACCTGAGAGCCAGGAAAGTTGCCAAGAAAACCCCATGATAGGTTTGCTTTAGGGTCGCCATAAGTCAGAAATGACTTGAAGGCACAAACAACAACAACAAAATCTCACTGAACACTGAACATTGGCCTCCTTCTGAGTAGATATGCTTTAGGTTGTTCTGCACACTGTAGGAAATACAGCAGAACAACCTTAACATATGTTATGCTATTGTTGTGTGCTTTCAAGTCATTTCTGACTTACGGCGATGATATCAAGGGTTTTCTTGGCAAGATTAGTTCAGAACAGGTTTGCCATTGCCTTCCCCTGAGACCAAGAGTATGTGACTTGCCCAAGGTCACCCAGTGGGTTTTATGGCTGAGCAGGGAATCCAACCCTGGTCTCCAGAGTTGTAATCCAACACTTAAACCATTATGCCACACTGGCTCTCTTAGCCATAACTAAAATGCATCTGACAAAATGGACTGCAGTCCACAAAAGCTTAGGCCAACTAAAATGTGGTACTCTTTGCAAGAATTTCCTCTAGTATAGGTTCCCCCCCCCTTTAAGATAGACTAAAACGGTCTCAGACTTTATCAGACTTTCTTCCCTCCCCCCAACCTGTAAGTACGTCACTGCACCTGAGAAAGATCGGAAGCACAGATTATGAAAACTATATAAATAATGATCACATTCCAAGTCCTGTTGTATTACAGACTTGTACATAAAAGCATTTTATTTTCAGCACATGGGAAACAATATAATCACGTTTCCCCCAAATGCTTTAAAAATGTAGGCCTGTAAAAAAGAAATATTTTTTAACAAGATGTTCATTTTGTAAAATGAATTTTTGAAGTCAGTTTTTTTTTGTGGAAAAAAAATTAAAAATAAAATAAAAGTAACTGTAAGGTGTGATTATGTTAAGCCTAAAGCGCACAGGCTTGTTTATGGTTGTTAATCAACTTGGCAGATAGATAAAATGTTCTGTTTCTACTCTTGGCAATAAATTGTTTAAATTAACTTGTTACTACTTATATTCTTTATGAGCAGGTATCTAAGTGACAAGCAGACATTGCTCCAGGGTAAGAGTGGGAGGATGGAAAATAATTCCTTTCTTCAGCATGTAGAGAGAGGAATCCAAAAGAGATTTAAGATTCTAGCATGTGCCAGGAGCAATTTTCTGATTACTTCAAATAGAGGTCAGTTAAGAAATGGAGATTGCTTATTGAGGTTAGTGTTTTATGTGATCTGTGATATTATTAGTTTAAAATGCTTTAGTGAGATTGCACATGGTCCTCTGGGTTCAGGTTGTGCTAGTTAGTGTGCTAGTACAATAAAGGTGTTTAGGTGTGGTTTGTTCACATCCTCTTCACCATAAAGAGATTTTCCATGTAATAAAGGGTGACTTTCTGTTTTTGTTTTGTCTCATGTGGAGGTGGAGATTGAGAGGTGGAGAACAGCTGCTTGCTCTTAAGGGCACATCAATAAGGGAGGCTGTTCCTATGGGCTGGAATGAAGCTTAGGCTTCCTTGATCCCCGTGGTTACATAAACTTGGACTAGTTACAAGAAAAGATTTGTCTTCATTGCAGACAAGATTTACCTATGGTGTAGATGTCTGATTCTCAGTAGACCACCCATGAATCATACTAAGTCAAGTGGCCTTAGAGGCTTTTCCTCCCCTCATTATTTTATACATCCTTGCTCTTTGGGAAAGAAAAGAAAGAAAGAAAGAAAGAAAGAAAGAAAGCTACCATGCCCCTGCTCCCATTTTTCTGTAGATACCCAGTATATGCTAGCACTACATCTTTGCTACTTCTTTAAAACACTGACGTATGCAACTGAGGAGTCGACACTGAGGAGTCGTCACTGTATGTTCTGCTCTTTGTTGTAGGAGATAAGATCAGTGGTGAGCTGCTGAAGAGGTTTCTTTGCAGCAAACCCTAAGGCTCTGGAGTGAGCTTCCCGAATCACTCAAGGCTCTGTAAAGTCCACTTGTTTAAGCAAGTCTTGTGATGGGGAATAAAATATATTCCTGATGCCTTTTTGCATTGATATCCTGTGTTTTGAAATGGTTGTATGGCAGACTTTGACTGATGGAATTTTAATTGTTTAATTAAGAACAACAGTATTCACATTTCAGCTGCATGGTAAGCTGCTTCTAGCAGTGCCAAACCAAAAGAATCATAGAATCATAG